AAAAAAAAAAAAAAATCAAACCAGCTTAAATCCTCAAAGAACCAGAACAGCAGCTACCCTCTGGAAAGGGATCTAGCAATATTTAGAGTGGGTAAAAAAAACAATGTTTTATTCACATTGCAGATAGAGGGCTATTGATTTAGTGAAGGGAATGAGATGTACAAAGAGCAGTAAGTTAAACATCAGTGAGAGGTAACACAAATTGGGCAGGTGCCATCAGCGTGGTGATTCCTGAGAGGATATCAGTTGATTCTTCTCTTGAGTTTTCCCAGTACATTTGTTTTCTTTCATTTTTTTGAGTTGGAGTCTCGCTCTGTCACCCAGGATGGAGTGCAGTGACATGATCTCGGCTCACCGCAATCTCCGCCTGCCAGGTTCAAGCGATTCTCCCGCCTCAGCCTCCCGAGTAGCTGGGATTACAGGCGTGCACCACCATGCCTGGCTAATTTTTGTATTTTTACTAGAGACAAGGTTTCACCATGTTGGCTGGGCTGGTCTTGAACTCTTGACCTCAGGTGATCCACCTGCCTCAGCCTCCCAAAGTGCTGGGATTACAGGCGCGAGCCATCGCACCTGGCCCCAGTACATTTATTTCCTTCTTTCCATCAGTAGATCCAAAAACAGGACTAGAACCCCAAACTGTGGTACAAAATAGACAATAATAACCAGCCTGCTTCAAGAAAGATTTCATCTTCCTCTCTCTCTGGGAGAGTTCTTACATTTTAATAATGTATACTTTGACTGAAGAAGGGATAATTTTTCTTCCCATCTTGTGACCCAAATACATTAAGCTCTGGTAATCAAACCTATACCAAGGTACCCTCATAGACAGACTCACTCTTTGGTTCCACTCAGGTATTTCTGCTCTTCGTTTTGATGACAAGCCACATCTCATCTCATATGGGAAATAGCAGCTCTGTAGGTTATGGCAAGTAACCCATTAACTGGGTTATTCTGAAAACTTTGGAAAGAGGTGTGGTCATCAAGAAACTTTGGAAAGAGGTGTGGTCACCAAGAAATGCATGTAAAAAGTTCTTGATTACAAAAGTTATTTAAAATTGTCCTCTTAGTCAATGCCATCGGCTATTATCTATTGTATGCATAAACCCAGTTTTGCAGAGAATCAAGTATTTTTTTTGAGTGTTTCTGACCATCACATCCTCCTTGAATTCTCTTAGGCACTTGGCACTGTTGATTGCTTTCTTAATCTTTCTCTTTTTTTATTCAAAGTTTTTGTTTTTGTTTTTTAAATAACTATCCTAAATCCCTGTTTTTGAAACTCTCTTCTCCCTCATGCAATGCCAGAGTCCCAAACTGTTTCCTCCCAATCCATCGCTATGGCCATCCCTTGGTGATCAGTTCTTAGCCCTCTGCTTCTCACACTCGAATGTTCTTTCTTTGTCATGATCTTAACTATCACATCTAAGCAGCAGATTCAAATATAGAGTTCTAGTTCCATGATCTATGGCCATACCACCATGAACATGCCCGATCTCATGATCTCGGAAGCTAAGCAGGGTTGGGCCTGATTAGTACTTGAATGGGAGTTCTTGTTCCATGTCCAGCTATGCTAAAGTTGAAAACCATTGAAAGGAAGTTCCCACCCACAGGAATTGTAAGTGATGTTTCGTCATCCGTTACTCCATTGACTCTTTGCAACAGTCTTCTGAAATGGGTATTCCTATCCCAATTTATCAGTGAGGAAACTGAAGTTCAGTGAGATCAAGTAACTTGTCTGAGATCATGCAGCTAGCAAGTATCAGATCAATGATTCAAAGCCAAATCCAGTTATCTCATGAAAATTGTTCCTTCTCTCTACCACACCTTATCGCTTCCTTTACCAAAATGCTGGCTTTCATCACATCAATGAAGGAGAGCAGAGTCCTGAGTGAAGCATTTAACTTAATCAGCTGGGGATTGTTGGATGAAGGAATAGAAAACATAAGCAAAGTGAAAGCTCAGAATGTGTCACCTTCCCCTCCTCCCTACATCCAGGTTAGCCTTACAGACAGGCCAAGTAGTGAGTAGCCCACAGAGTGGAATGTGAAAGATGCTGGTTATGTCTACTTCCCCTCAAAACATCTTTCCAATGCCCTCTTACCCCCCTTGTTCCTAAAGTCCCCTAGGCCTTTAATTCCTTGGGGTTCCTGTGGCCTCTCAAAGTGGAAATATACCTGGAAGAAGAAGCAATAAACTGAATTACTAACATATAATCATTCAGAAAATATTTAGTAAGCACCAGAATCTGAAGAGGTACTTAGAGCTTCACCAGAATCTGAAGAGGTACTTAAAGCTGAGATTATTATCTTCTTTTTACGGATGATGAAATTGTGGCTCAGAGTGTCTGAGTGACTCATTCCAGATGACACACCTGAGCCCCATTTTCTGAACCAGAGCTCAGACTTGGGTCTTCCGATTTTGTGTTCTATGCTCTTCCTTTCTATCACAGTAACTCAAGGGGTTTATAGGTGGGAACTCAAGACAAAAGTACATGAATAGTTAAATAACAATTCAAGATAACAGTAGAAGTAATGTTAGAAGACAATAAAAGTGTCCAATGACTGACAGAGACAATAATTGCTCTAGGAGTGACCTGTAAGGTCACTGTGGGTAAGAGTCAACAGAGAAGGCCTTGAACAGGAAGCAGGACTAAAGCCTGGCCTTGGAAACTGAATAGAAAAAGGGCAGCCCAAGAAGAAAGGGAGGGCATTCCAGTGTGGGGGACAGGAAAAATAAAGACAGAGGTGAGAAAACCCAAGTCTTGTTTGGAGAGAGAATGAAAAGACAAATTTAGCTAGATCTGGAAGAGAGACTTTTACTGGGGGATAATGGAAAATAAGATTCAAAAGACCCTCTTGAATTTCTGACAAAAGGATTTTGACTTGTCTTGTGGACAATAGTGAACTATGAAAGAATTTTGAGTCAGACAGTGAAACTCTGAAAGCAGTGTGTGGGTAGACTAATCTGGCAATATGCATTTTAGAGGATGCCTTTCGATGGGAAGAGATTGGAGATAAGGAAGACTAGTTAGGAGCCTATGACAGTCAGGGATAAGGTGACAAAAGCCAGTATTAGAATGGTAGTGCTGAGACTAAAAGGAAGGCCAATTGTAATTGGCAAGATGAAGAAAGAAATGTCAGAACCTGTGAAATAGGGAGAGACAAGAGTTGAACTTGCCTGAGAGTTTTCAAGCCTAGCTGACTTGAAAGAAGAGGCCATGAACAGAAATTAGCAAGACAGGTAGACAAACTGGTTCACGGAGTTTTGCTTTTGACATCTCGGGGTGGAATTAACAATGGAAGGTCCAAGTGAAACTGTCTAGTAGGCAATTGAAGATGTAGAGGTGGAGGTTGGGAGAAGGGAAGGCCTAGAATTGAGTTGGCTTGAAGTAATGGTATATAAGGAGCCCTGGGAGTCAGGAGACCTGGGACTTTGCCTCTTCTCTGCCACTAACTTACTGAGTCATGGGCAAGCCACCTCTCTGGGCCTATTTCCTTCAATGTAAAGTGAGGGAGTGCGCAGACCCTATATGATCTCTGAGGTACTCTCAAGGACTATGAGTCACCTGCATGTATGTTCTCTCCAAGGCAAAATCAACAGTCCAATGAACAAAGGGCATTAAATAATCCCCAAATGCTATGACTCTGTGACCGATCTCAGGAATGCTATTTACTTAAGGAGCAAAAGAGAAGTCAGCAAAGGAGATAGAAAGCAATCAGAGAGATAAAAGCATGAGGAGAGAAATTCTAAAGCGAGAGGATAAAATAAGGAACTAAAATTAAAAGTATCACAATAAATAAGATAAATATTTACATCAAATAATGACAAAGGGATAGCATGTATATTAAGTAAAGAATACATGGGCCGGGCGTGGTGGCTCAAGCTTGTAATCCCAGCACTTTGGGAGGCCGAGACGGGCGGATCACGAGGTCAGGAGATCGAGACCATCCTGGCTAACATGGTGAAACCCCGTCTCTACTAAAAAATACAAAAAAACTAGCCGGGCGAGGTGGCGGGCGCCTGTAGTCCCAGCTACTCGGGAGGCTGAGGCAGGAGAATGGCGTAAACCCAGGAGGCAGAGCTTGCAGTGAGCTGAGATTCGGCCACTGCACTCCAGCCCAGGCAACAGAGAAAAAAAAAAAAAAAAAAAAAAAAAAAGAATACATTTAGATATATCAGAATACCACTAGGGTGCCAACTGAAGAAAGATGCAAAGAGTAAACATATGGGAAAGAGTTCAATCCCATGAGTAATCAAAGAAATGAAAAAATATGAAAATAATATTTAACCATCTAAAGAGATTTCTTCTAAAGTCCAATGCTAGCACTGCAAGGGAACTGGAACAACTCATATGTCATTGTGGTGTGGAAAATTTTTGCAGTCCTTTTGGCAATCATGATCCATAAAAACGTTCATGCTCTTTGGTCTGGTAATCCCGCTTCTGGGAACTTATCCTAGAGACAGAATTACAAAGGAGAAAAAATCTATACACATTAAGATGTTCAAAGCACAGAAAAATTGAAATATATCTAAATATTCAATAATAGGGGAATAGCCAAATAAAATGTAATCTACTGACAGGTATAATTTTATGAGGCAATTGAAATAATAGACATGAAAGACTATAGCAACCAGGGAGAATATTTACAATAAAAGGTTTCTAGGCCAGGCGTGTAATCACGCCTGTAATCCCAGCACTTTGGGAGGCTGAGGAAGGCAGATCACTTGAGGTCGGTAGGTAGTTCGAGACCAGCCTGGCCAACATGGTGCAACCCCGTCTCTACTAAACATACAAAAATTAGCCAGGCGTGGTGGTGCATGCCTGTAGTCCCAGCTACTCGGGAGGCTGAGGCAGGAGAATCACTTGAACCCGGGAAGTGAAGGTTGCAGTGAGCCGAGAATTGTGCCACTGCACTCCACCCTGGGCGACAGAGCAAGACTCTGTCTCAAAAACAAAAAAGAAAAGAAAAGACAAACGACAGCAGGGTTAAGGTGTCAGTGGTAATGCTTTGTTTTTTTGTTTGTTTGTTTGTTTTTAAGGTGGGATAAAATGGGTGATGGAAGAGACTTGAAATAATGAAGAGAGGTAAACAAAGGAATAAGAAAGGGGACCACCTCTTATTCTGGGAACTTCAGGGAAGAAAGGGAGAAAGACAGGGCAAATATAGAGTAGTTATCATGAATGATAACTGGAAGTTGAAGCGTTAGAGCTTCTCAGTTTTGCAGGAGGCAAGGTATCTCTCTTAAGAGATCACAAGAAGGAGATGAATCTGGGGCTTTGTGGAGGTGGAAAAGACAGGAAACCGCTGCTGTGGAATGTTCTCTAGGAACACACCAGGCTAAGAGGAATGAGAGCTTAGACGTAGCTCCAGGATGTGAAGTTTTAGTGAGTCAAGTCAGCCTTGTCCTCTGGTTTCATCTGCAATTTCCTCCAGTCCTAGAAGAAAGGAGATTGGCCCAAGGTGAAAGTCAAGGTGTTTAAAGCTAAAGTGCAAGGGAAGACAGCCCTAAAGTAACAGATGAGAAAATTGGCCTGAGTCAGTTGGGATGGAAAGAGCAGCTTTACTGGGTGGGGACAGCACGTTAGGGGAGGTGATGGGCAAAGAGGCCATGGTCATAGGAATAAAAGGAAGAGAGTGCAGATGAGGAACAGTGTATGTAACAGTGGCTGTGAGACTGGGAGAACCAGCAAGAAGAGGAGAAAAAAGTTGGTTCATTTACTCCTAATGGCAGGAGTCCTGCGTAGCAAGAAGGTCCTGGATATCTAGGGAGAAAGTGGGAGCCTTTCAAAAAACAAAAAGGGAAATTTAGGAAAACTGAAGTCATTTTTTTCTGCAGTCCAGCCCCAGCCCTACTCTACGGAGAGAGACCCCTTAGAAGCCAATAAGAAGTTGGTATCATTAGATAAGTAAGAGATCAGAGACAGGTCAGCAAGGGTGGGAAAAAACGAAAGGCAAGGCTGGGATCTGACTCAGGAGACCAACAGGCTGGAAGGTGATTTCAAAGGGAGAAGGCCTGTAAGTGTGAGCCCACCTTTCTCAAGAATGCCTGCCAAGAAATTCTTACTTCCCAAGGCTTAGGGGTTAGCTTCTCAATTTCCAATGCACCCCGCTCCCCTCCGCAACTTGATCCTATAAGCCTGTAAGTGCTAAGATGGCACTGGAAGAGAGAAGCAATGAATGGGTGGGAAACTTTAAAAGGAACCTTCCCAGTCCTAGTGCTCCACCCTGGCCTCAAAGTCCTGAAGCCTGATCTGAAAGAGCTGGTGACAGATTTATCATTTATTTGGGGCAGGAGCTAGAGAAAGGGGAGAGATCAGTGAAACGCTAGTTCTGGGCGTCAATTCCTGTCACCACCATCCTCTGCACAAATCTGCTCTACTCCTCAATGCCGGAACTTACAGCCATAGACATGAGAGCTCCACCCCCTCAGTCTGAGCCATCCACTTGTCCTTTCGTTAAGTACAGGAGAGCTGTCATATACGTGTTCTGAGCAAACATCATAAAGAAGGTCCAGTCCCATTCCTGTCCTAAAGGCTGTTATCAGCTAAGGTCCCCACCCCATCACAGGACTTTAATTCATGCTGCGCACTAGTTCAACAGTGTCAGGCCCCCAGCTATATGCGGGGACCCTGGCATGCAGGCTCCCTGGGATCACACCCTATTGCAGTGCCTCAGTAAGCAAGACTATGCTGTCTTTGAGGGAGAACCAGGAAGTTGGTGTGGGTGCTGCATATGGCACATCCTTGGCATCTGTGATATGGAAGTTGCCTCCACTTCCTGATTCTGGTTATCACCATCAGATACGTCAGGCCAATCCTGAGATGACTCTGCCTGATCCACCCCTTCAGCTGAATGCTCTGCTCTGGCTGGAGAAACACATGCTATAGGAGGCTGTGGGGGAAATGGGACAGGGAAAGAGGACTGGGGAAGATTTTCAGGAAGACTTGTAGGATCAATGGCCCCAGGAAGGGACAGAAACAATGAGAAAGGAGTAGAAGACTGGCATTGGCTAAAAAAGAGTGGGCAACTGAAGGGGTTATGAGAGATGAGATCACCCATAATGTCCCTGTCTCCCTGCAACCCTCAGGGCGAGGGCTTCTATCCAGAGCCTGGAAAACAGGAGGAAGCGCCTTACCAGGTATCACTATTGGGTTCCCTCACCTCTGCCCTGCACTCACTCCCTTTTCTCTCACTTCCCGGCTTCCCGTGTTACAATCTATCTGCCCTAGGAGTAGAGAAGCTACTGTCCTGGGGGGTGGCTGCCCACCTGCAGCTGCTATCCTCAGGCAGGGACACTAGTGCCAGGGAAGAGGCAGCCGTGCGGGGCTGGGGCTTGCCACCACCACAGAGCTGATGGAGCTGACGTCGATATTTGTCCCCAGTGAGCAAGTAGAGCACAGGATCCAGGCAGCTGTTGGCACTGGCCAGGGGCCGAGTCACTTTATAGACCACGTTGACGATGTTCAGCACTCGGCAGTCAGCTTCCAACAGCCTTGCCAGGTAGTAAATGGTGCGGGTGATGTGGAAAGGCACGAAGCAGACAGCGAAGACGGTCAGCACCACAGCTATGGTGCGAAGAGATCGGAGACGAGAAGAAGACTGTGCAGCGCCTGGCAAGGGCCGATACAGGCGACGGGCCATGAGCCCATAGCAAACAAGAGTGACCAGGCAGGGCACGCCAAAGAGCAGCCCCATGACCGCCGAGCTGAAGTGCACATAGTGGTCAAACTCTTCAGGCCGAGTGGTGTCATGGCACAGGACGGTGTTCCCTCTGGTGCTGGTTGTGACGAAGAACAGGTTGGGCACGAGGCAGCCGGCTACGACCAACCAAACTGCCAGGCAGATAAGGCCTGCGAGGCGAGGGCGGCCCCAGCGTAGTGCCCGAAGTGGGTGGCAGATGCCCAGGTAGCGGTGCACGCTAATGCAAGTGAGGAAAAGGACGCTGCAGTAGAGGTTCCAATAGAAAAGAAAGCGGACGAACTTGCAGATCTCAGTGCCAAAGGGCCAGTGGTTGCGGGCTGCATAATAGTAGATGAGGGTGGGCAGCGACAGCACATACAAGGTGTCTGACAATGCCAGGTGGAACATGTAGGTGGCAGTTGCATCCCAGGGTCGGAGGCGGAAGATGAAGAGCCATAGGGTTGGGGTGTTGAGGCCCAAGCCCAGCACAAAGACAACTGCATAGCTCACAGGAAGCAGGATGAACTTGAAATCCTCATCAAACCAACAGTCCAGCTCCACCTCACTGCTGCCAGGACCTAGGCTGAGGCCTATGGATCTCAACAGCGAGGACTCTGTACTGGCCATGGCCCCCCTGGAGATGGAAAAGGGAGAAGTGAGGGTGGCAGGATTTCCCTGCCCACCCCTATCCCTGAGCTGGGGCAAAAAACGCAGAGAGCAGGGAGAGCAGTGGTTGAAGCACTAGAGAGAGCTGACAGGAGTGCATCTGGGTGCACTCAGGCTAGCCAGGCCCCTACCCAAGCTCCCTTGGTCCAGCTTGGGGAGTGGTGGGCAGCAGGCAGTGCTGGGGCTCAGGCAGGCAGCCCGTGGGTTTGGGTTGTTCTCACTCTGCAGCTCACTCTGTCCCTAAGAGCCTGGCTAGCTTAAGAGGGTGGAGGCCTCCCAGCACTATCCAAAGTGGGAAGATACCCAGACACAAAGTGTCTCCTGACTCCTCATCACAGCTGTGTCCCTGGAAGAGGAGTGTCTCTCCCCACAGTGCCTTCGCCTCTCCTAGTGCCCTGGTCACAGTGTCTCCAGATGACATTTACCTATGACACCTTCCCCACTGCCCGCCTACAGCCCAGGAGCCCCATTGCCACCCTTGCCCAAGAACCTTGGCACGTCTCCTACCTGGTCCCCTTGAAGCTGAGCTCAGCTGACTCTGTCACCTTTCCCCTTGGCAGCCAGAGGGCATATCCAAGGAGGTGGAGTTGGAGGTGGGGCCTGTCCTCCTCCCATCTGGGAGATCCAAAGAGTTAGAAAGGCCCTTTACAATGACCTAGTCCAACCCTACTCATTGTACAGATTGGGAAACTGGGGCCCAGCGAGATTACTATTTAACAGCTTTGAAATGACTGCAGGAGGAAGCACACGAGGAAACATCCAAGTTTACCGATGAAGAGCCAGGCCCCTGGAGATAGATTACAGGGGGATCATACAAGTCTGTGTAAGTGAGCAGAAACATGGGAAATGAATTTTCACATGGGCAAATGCAGGACAACACATTGAAAGATTTTAGAAAATCTAAACTACTGATATTTAATACAAATCTCAATCTCATATGCATATCATTACAACGAATGCTTATATAGCACTTAGTATGTGACAGGCATTTTTCTAAGTGCTTTATACTTACTAATGACTCCATAGGTTCTCTATGAACTAGGTACTATTATTGTCTCTGCTCTGCTGATGAAAAAATGAAGGCACAGAAAGTTTAGGTGTCTTGCTAGTTAGTGGTAGAGTCAAGATTTGAACCAAGGCAGGCCTGCCTTTGGATCAGGCTCTAGCATCCATGACTTAATTGCTGTGCTTAAGTTGCCTCTCTAAGCCACTAGCTATGATCCAGGAAAGAATCAACAAATATTTATGGGAGACAAAGGCAGGCAGATCTCTTGAACTCAGGAGTTCAAGACAAGCCTGGACAACGTGGCAAAACCCTGTCTCCACAAAAAATACAAAAAATTAGTCGGGCGTGGTGGCATGCACCTGAAGTCCCAGCTACATGGGGGGCTAAGGCAGGAGGAGTGCTTGAACCTGGGACGTTGAGGCTGCAGTGAGCTGTGATCGCGCCACTGCACTCCAATCTGGGTGTCAAAGTGAGACCCTGTCTCAAATATAAATAATTTTTTTTAAAACCACAAATATTTACTGAGAGCCTACTTTTGCCTGGTCCAGTTCCAGTTACTGGTAATTCCTTAGGAGTAGACAAAATAGACAAAAACTCCTGCCCTAATGGTACTTACATACTACTGGGGGATAACAAAATTAATAAATAAAATATGTAGATTGTGATCATCATTATGGAGAAAAATTAAAGAGGGAAGGAAAAGGGTAATAGAGAGAGAGTTGTTGTTTTAAGTATTAGGAGTGAAACCAGGCACAGTGGCTCACACGTCTAATCCCAGCACTTTGGGAGTCCGAGATAGGAGGATCACTTGAACCCAGCAGTTCGAGGTTGCAGTGAGCTATGATCACACCTCTGCACTCCAGCCTCAATGACAAAGCAAGACCCTGTCTATAAATAAATAAATATTAAGGGTGACTTTTGAATAAAGGCCACGTGTTGTGAGAAGGGGAAAAGTAAAAAATGAAGTCAGAGAGTTTGGCAGGGACCAGATCATGAAGGTCCTTGGAGGCCGTTGTAAAGGACTCTTTGGTGAATGGGAAGGCACTTAGGGTTTAGAGAAGAGAGGTGTCGGCCGGGCGCGGTGGCTCAAGCCTGTAATCCCAGCACTTTGGGAGGCCGAGACGGGCGGATCACGAGTTCAGGAGATCGAGACCATCCTGGCTAACACGGTGAAACCCCGTCTCTACTAAAATACAAAAAAAATTAGCCGGGCAAGGTGGCGGGCGCCTGTACTCCCAGCTACTCGGGAGGCTGAGGCAGGAGAATGGCGTGAACCCGGGAGGCGGGGCTTGCAGTGAGCTGAGATCTGGCCACTGCACTCCAGCCTGGGCAACAGAGCCAGACTCCGTCTCAAAAAAAAAAAAAAAAAAAAGAGAAGAGAGGTGTCATCTGACTTACATTTTAGAAGGCTCACTGGCCAGCTCTATGTTGAGAATAGACTGCAGGGCTGGAGGTACAGGGGGAAGACCAGTCAAGAGGCTATTGCTGATAGAGATGATGGTAGCTTGGATCACAGTGACGGAGATGATGAGAAGTGGTCAAATTCTGGATATATTTTTTTTAAGTAGGGACAGCGAGATTTACTGATATGGGGTATAAGAGAAAGAAGAGTCAAAAATTGCTCCAAGATGCCTGACCTGAGCAGCTGGAAGAATAAAGTTACTGTTGACAGAGATAGGAGTGGGTTTAGGGGAAAGATTGGGAGTTCACTTTTCAGCCTGTAAATTTTGAGATGCCTGTTATACATGTAAGAGGAGATGGCCAGGAGACAGTTCATGCCTCCTGGAGGATACTAGCCAATACATTTCCCATACAGACTCTACCCCTTTCTATACAGTACCCCTCATCTCTCTTGATCACTCCCAGAGACTTGGTCTGAATATAGTGGAGAAGGTGCAGAGAACAAGCCTAGAGGTTTGAGAGCCGGGTGTAGGGACTGTCAGCAGCTCAGGATCTGGGGCTCCTGAAGCCAACTAAGCCTCTGAAAGTATGTCTTAGGCACTAGAGGCAAACCCGGTCTGGAGGACTCTGAGGATGAGGTAAGCAGTGCCTTTGGGGAGGGGTGAGCAGGCTGGAGCAGAATCCACTCTGCATGGAGCTGAGAAGCAATGGGGACTCTGAATTTACTTGATCCTCAGGTCCTGAGAATGTCACCCAGCTGGATACCGGGAGTGAGAGGAGGAGGCGGACTTGCAAAGGAGGCTCTAGAATTTAGAATCTAGATCTCTCAGAAAGCTCAGAAACCTGGATGGGGAAACTGAAGATCTTTGCCCTGTGGCAGAGTAAGGGGTGGAATAAAAGGTAGCAGTGGAGGGCACAGTCATAACCTGAGTCCTGGGCAGCTGACTACTGTGACACTGCAGAAGAGGCCCGGGTTTCTGAAGCCAGACGGACCTGTGTTTAAATCCTTGCTCTTCCACTTATTAGTTATGTGAGCCTGGGCGCCTCTTTGTAACTTCCATTCTTCACCAGTGAAATGGGAATGATAACACCAATCTTTTTAGGGTTTCCTGAATATTGAATTGGTTACCAGGTGTGGAAGCACTTTGTGAACCATAAAATGCTGCAAGTTTATAAGGTGTTTTTTATTACTGCTTTGCTCCCAGGGATGAACCTGGCCTCTGCAGAGGTGGACAAGCGTGTTTTGAAGTTTGGTGTACACCCAAGGAGAAGCACTACACTACAGAAGCCCCAGCCTGAGCCAGCTTCCTGCTCCCACTGCTTCAGGCTGGTTCACCTCTGCTACATTTCCCCTGACTTAGCTCTGCTACGTTTCTGCAGGTCCCGACACAGCTGCAGCGGCTGCTGCTGCCACCACTGCCACCCAGTGGCTATTTCAGGAAAAGACCTCTCCCAACCCTCCCCAACCAGCACCCCGATTGGCTTTTACTATCCTCACCCGGGGCCAAGAGGAATGGAATGCAGCGGATCAGCCTCACTCTCTTCTGTGAAACTCTTCTTTACTTTGGTTTCTGTGACTTTGCTTTACTCCGGTTCTCCTCTTCCTCTGGATGTTCCTTCTGGCCCCTTCCCTGCCTTTTTTTTGCCCTACTTCCCCCACATGTGAGCCTTACCCCAAAGATTCCTCTCCTCTCCTCTCCTCTCCTCTATCTCCCTCTCCACCATCTCTCTCCCCCCTACCCCCACCCTCTCTTCCCCTTCTCTCTTGGAACATCTACTCTCATGATTTCAACTATGACTCAGAGGTTATCAAAAATTGGTAATGGCCAAGAGACTCCAGCATACAGATCTCTCTCTAATCAAAATGCATCTCTCCTTCTCTCACACTTTTATCACATTTCATTTCTACAGAGATGGCACATACCACAGGCAGCCTAGAATTATACTCATTTGTGGTTTTGGCCATCTCCTCCTGATCCTCCCACCCCCATACCAGAACCAGAGCTCCTTGAGAACATGTACCTCATTGTACCTCTGTCTTTCCCATAGCCTTCCAGGTGAAGTTATTATAACATATGTTCTAGATATTTTATTTCCAATTATATTCTCTGCTGTCCCCATAAAAATGCCTTCCAACTCAGAGTTAAGAAAACAAGTACTTTGCACATAGTAAGTGTTCAATAAATAGTTGTTGAAAGAATGAATAACTTAATTATAATTTGTTGAATTGAATGGTTCCCACATCTATAATCTAAGCCCTATATATGTTGTTTGCTACAGGACACACACACTTGGGTATCTCATTGACGTCTGGAATTTAGTATGCAGGAAAAGTTTACTATTTTTCTCATGACAGAGATAAATAAGATGTACAAATACCATTATTGCTGACACCCTTTCATTGCCCTACTCCTCCAGTTTGTTCCAGTCCTCTCCCTCCTGGCCCTTCACATCTAATATTCATAATTGTCTTGATGACAGTTTCTTTGCAAGATTTTCTGTTTCCTTGGAGCTTTAAGAAGGAAACGGAGAAGAGGCATGATTTCTAATATCTTTCTCTG